CATCGCGCTCCTCGCCTGCCTGCCGAACCGGGGCCTTATGAAAGGCTTGATACACCCGTCAAGCCACTTCAGAACGCCGTCGTCGTCCATCCAGCCGGTGTCTTGGCACCCCACCACCACATCTGTGCACGCAACAAAGGGGTGTAGTTATACTCCGATGACTCATTACAAGTACAAAAATGTAAATAGACAAGAATTTCTTACCCGGCGGGAAATCCCTCTTCGGCACCGTCTTGCGCTTGAAGAAGACCCATGGTTTCAGCTTCACCCTGTCAGCCGTGCACGCCAACATCACGGTGACGCGCTGCTTCTGGTAACCAGCGCTCCTGATGGGCACCGAGCGCACTCCCGTGTGATCCACAGTGGTGGTGGCAGGCATCTCCAGCCACAGCGGCGTCTGGTCGGCGTTAATTATCCACGTCGTCTCGATCCCGCGCTCACGACGGTTGTTGCGGACGAACCCCCAGAAGTTCGCGCACTGCTCCGCGACATCTGTGAAGCAGACGTAAGTGGGGGGAACACGGTAGGGAGATTAAGTCAGTTGTTACCGTACAAAAGATCTTACGGTGGTGCGTCGCGTATGTTATTAAAACGAAGGGATACACTTACGTGCGGCAGTTTTCTGTGCTACCTTCGTCTTCATGCGGACGCTCAAATTCCAGCGCTGGCGAAACCGCTCCGACCACTGTTGACTACCCTTCCACTTGACGTCGGGGAAGAGAATCTGTATGAATTCCTTGTCAGAATATGTTGTTTGTGTAGCCTGCAGTGGGGTACTCAATAGTGAGTACAGCCCCTTAGGGTTTGCTATTTGTATCCTGCTGCTTGCTAGTCCAATCATTCCTTCCTCATTTCTGTTCGTGCACACAACTCTCGCTCGTACTTGGCGCCTCGTTCTAGTCTTCCTGTGGCCTAGGCTACTAAGCCTAGGCCCGACTACCTAGTATGTTTGACATGGTATCAGAGGGCGGCGTGTCTCTGCCGCCTTCCTGTGTATGGGCCCACCACCCGCTTCCGCTGCCGTACTGTCCGCCGCGCGCCCCGTGGTGCGCGGCGCCGAAATTAGGGTTTCTGCCCGCCGCGCGCTCGGGGCGCGTGGCGGCTTACCCCTCCGTGGCGCCCGTCGTGGCGCCCGTCGTTTCTACTGCTACCGGGGGCCCGCGCGGCCTCCCCTCCCGTCGCCCGTCGTGGCGACCACGGGGGCTCGCGCGCGGTCACCTCCCGTCGTCCGTCGTGGCGAGCTCGGGGGCCCGCGCGGCCTCCCCTCCCGTCGTCCGTCGTGGCGACCACGGGGGCCCGCGCGGCCTCCCCTCCCGTCGTCCGTCGTGGCGACCACGGGGGCCCGCGCGGCCTCCCCTCCCGTCGTCCGTCGTGGCGACCACGGGGGCCCGCGCGGCCTCCCCTCCCGTCGTCCGTCGTGGCGACCACGGGGGCCCGCGCGGCCTCCCCTCCCGTCGTCCGTCGTGGCGACCAAGGGGGCCCGCGCGCGGTCCCCTCTCGTCGCCCGTCGTGGCGACCACGGGGGCCGCGCGGCCTCCCCTTCCCGTCGCCCGTCGTGGCGCTCCGGGGTGGCCCGCGCGGCGCCCTTCCCGTCGCCCGTCGCGGCGGCCCTGGGGGGCCGCGCGGCTCCCTTTCTCGTCGCCCGTCGGGGCGCCCTGAGGGCCGCGCTCTTCCCCCCCCCCTCCCCTTCCTCCTACCTTCACCTGCAGCGGCCGCCCCTGGAGCCGCCCCTGGAGCAGCCCGCACCTGCAGCAGCCGCCCCTGGAGCAGCCCGTGCCTGCAGCAGCCGCCCCTGGAGCAGCCCGCACCTGCAGCAGCCGCCCCTGGAGCAGCCCGCACCTGCAGCAGCCGCCCCTGGAGCAGCCCGTGCCTGCAGCAGCCGCCCCAGGATCCGCGCGAGCCGCCCCTGCAGCAGCCCGCGGCCCGTCCCTGCGGCCCGTCCCTGCAGCTCGTCCCGTCCCCCCCCCCCCCCCCCCCCGTGCTGCCCATTGCTCCCATTCCGCCGTGCGTTCCGCGGTGGTGGGGGTGTGGGGTGGCGAGCATGGGGGTGACCGGTGTGGGTAACCTGAAGCTCCTCCTCCTCCTCCTCCGTCTCCCACTGCTGCAGCTGCCGCTGAGGGGGGTGGGTGTGTGGGAGCCGAGGGTTTAGGGTTTATGGGGGGTGCCGTGGGAGTGGAGCTAGGGTTTCAGCATGGGGTGCGTGAGAGGGGTGTGGGACGGTCGGGGGAGGTTGAGCAGAGGTAGCCGTCTTGTCGTCCGCAGGGCGCTGTCCTGGTAGCCCAGAGAGCCTGCTGCGCCTGTCGCCCGTGGGTCCGTTGCTCCCGCCGCTCTTCGTAGCCGCCGAGCCAGTTACTCCAGTAGTCCGGGGCGCTGTCCCGGTAGCCACTGTGCCAGCCGCTCCTGTTGCCCGTGTGTCTGCAGCTTCAGCCGTCGCCTCCTATCTCCTCTCCTCTTACAGTCCCGCCTCCTCCTCACTTGCCCTCTATGATAGCCTCTAGCTTTACTTATAATTGTGAACTACTGCTATGCCTGCTCATTGTGCTGATTACACCCCACTTTGGCTATGGGGGTGTGTCAGAATATGTTGTTTGTGTAGCCTGCAGTGGGGTACTCAATAGTGAGTACAGCCCCTTAGGGTTTGCTATTTGTATCCTGCTGCTTGCTAGTCCAATCATTCCTTCCTCATTTCTGTTCGTGCACACAACTCTCGCTCGTACTTGGCGCCTCGTTCTAGTCTTCCTGTGGCCTAGGCTACTAAGCCTAGGCCCGACTACCTAGTATGTTTGACATTCCTTCGACCACTCCTGCAGACGACCGACTGAGACGGCGCATCCCTTGCGCCGCCATTCAAGTAGCCTCGCATAGACCTTCAGCTCCATAGGCTTTTACCAAGAAGCTCGGCAGCGACCGTGCATCCGCATCCGTGCGCCGTGAGCGTCTTTCAGGACGGCCGCCTCCCTCTTCCACTGCGTCAAACACTTCCGATGGATGCCGGACTCACGAGATAGAGCGCGCACCGAAACCGCCACTTCTAGCAGCGCGAGCCACTTCAGTTTTTCCTGGGCTGTGTATCCCTTTCGCTTGTTCTGCGTCATCTTGTGCCTGGGAGAGGGGGGGCGGGCATCACGGTTCTGTGAAGATGGGTGGGGACGCTTGCGGTTAGTCGGTGGATAAGACGGTATCGGCAACTTTTCAGGAAGGCCATCGCGCGACCAGTATTCGGCACCGTCGTCGTCGTCGCCGCCCGTGGCACCCTCGGGAAACGTATCGGCCTCGGTGCCCGCCTCGATGCCACCCTCTGTGCCGGTCTCGTCGTCAGCCTCGGTGCCCTTGTCGCCCTCCGCGCCCTCGGCATCCACATCGTCGTCAGCGCCCACGGCGGATTCATCCCACGCGCAGTCTACGGGCTCGCCCCAGCGTGGTGCCGGCGCGGGAGCCTCGGTGTACTCATCTTGAGGCTTGTCCCTGACAGGTTCTTCTAGCCACTCGTTGAAGGTCGCAGGGAGATGCTGGCAAAGCTGGAGCACGGGCCGGTTGCCCAAGGTTTCAAGAGGAGGAGGATTCGGAGGAGCAGGAGGCGCGGGAGGCGACGGAGGAGCAGGAGGAACAGGGGGGACAGGAGGCGCAGGAGGCGCTGGTGGCTCGGGGGGCTCTAGTGGGGCACGGCAGTACCATCCGTCAGCGGTAACTGGTAAACGCGCGCCTCGTAGGCTTCTTCTTGAAGAGAAAATGCGTGCCAGAGAATTCCGCCATGGCTGAAGCAGCCTGGCGGGAGAGGCATGAAAACTGAATCCGAATGAGGAAGAATGAGGAATGAAATGAACTTGGAGGGACCCCTTTGCCTTAGCGCCTCGGGGTCCTCGTCGATGACCGACGGGAAACCCCCGCTAAACCCGCAGAGGACCATGCGTGGCGTGCACGACGCTGCGTTGGCATGGAAAATTCCACCACCTTCTAGTGGCTTCTGGTGGAATTTGCCTGCATGGCAAACGTATCCCGCTGTGATTGGACCGCACGGCAGGATTTGCGTCAGCGCGGGCAGGAAAGATTCCCCCCCCCCTTCTAGAGGGTTCGGGTGGAATCGGCTGCCATGAGGCACATGACAATGCGATTGGGCCACACGGCAGGATTCGAGTCAGCAACGCCAGGTGCGTTGCTTCTGGACGTGAATTTGTGGTGGGAAACCCAATCGCAGTTGATTTCCCCTGAAACCCAAGCACGAAACCACGTGAACGATTGTTTGGTTGTGTTCGCCTTAAAGAGAGATTCAATTTGTGTTCTTTTTTACCGTCTTATAGGCGCATGCGCTTATACCCGTTACTCATTTACAAGCGCCCCCCTTAAAAAAACAGATTTTATTATAAGCGCATATGCGCTACTATCCGGGGTAATACGGTACGTGGTGATCTTGAGAACGACCCTGAGCTGTGCTTTGCTTTGTTCTCTTGCTTGACTGGTCTTGTGACCGTTGGTTGTTCTTGCTAGCCCCCACTTTGTCTATCGGGGTGTGTGAAACTGTGTTTGTATACCTGTAGGATGTAGTGGGGTAGCCTCTACTGAGTACAACACTTTAGGGTTAGACCTAGTTTTTGTAGTCAATCACTCCTGCACGTTATTTCTGACACTGTTTGTTCCATACACGCACCGCCTTGTTGCTGCACAATCACTAGCTATTCCCACCGCCATCCTATCCTTTGACTTGCCTCCCACTAATGCCTCCCTATCAAACCCCAGCAGCCTTTCCAGTGCTGCTTGATTCACAGTCAGCAAATTGCAATAGCCACCTGTCATTCTCCTCCTCCATCCCCCTCCTCCTCCTGCATCCTCTCACTTGCCACTCCCACCACCATCCCTCTCCTGCCTCGCACTGACACCCGTCTCCTCCCTTCCATACCCCAGCAGCCTCTCCAGTGCCGTTTAATCCATAGTCTGCAGCAACCGCCTGTCATCCTCCTCCTCCTCCTCCTGCTGCCGCATCCTCCCCCTCCTGCCGCGTCCTATCACTTGCCACTCCCACCGCCATCCTTCTCCTGCTTCCCACTCGCGCCCGTCTCCTCTCTCCCATACCCCAGCAGCCTTTCTAGCGCTGTTTGATCCATAGTCTGCAACAACCGCCTGTCATCCGCCTCCTCTTCCTGCTGCATCCTCGTTTTAGCCTGCTCCGCTACACTTTCTGCCAGTGCCTTTGCTGCCTCCTCCTGCCACATGGTAAGCATTCAATGGTCGGAGGGAAAGAATGAAAATCGGTTGAAAGAAAGAGACGTGAAGAAAAACAAAAGGTAAAGCAACCCGTGACGTGGCAGTGCTAGAGATGTTTCCTTCGTGTGTTTTACGAGAAAAACTTACACTCAGAGTGTCAACCACTTATTATATCACCATCTCACTGCCCCTCACCATGCCCTCCCCACCCCCTCCGTCCCTCCCCATACCAACCCTCACCATACCCCCACCCCTCACCTTGCCTCCACTCCTCCTCACCATGCCATCAAGCTGCTGCTTTAGCTGCTGCATCTCCCCCACCAACCGCCTCACACGCTCGATATGATATAGTCCTCCTTACCCCCACCATACCACATCCACATTCCCTTTAACTTCCCCTCACCATGCCATCCAGCTGCTGCTTCAGCTGTTGCATCTCCCCACCATCCGATCTGCTTCACATTCTGAAGAAGAGTCAGTTTCTATCGTATACCACCACCCTCAATCCACTTATCACCACCAACCACCACTCCTTACCATGCCATCGAGCTGCTGCTTCAGCTGCTCCATCTCCCCCACCACTCGCCTCACATGCTCCAGAGCCGTTTCCTCCACCACCTGCTGCTGTGCCACCCGCAGCGCCCTCAGCTGGATTGGGAAAGGGCGGAAGGAGAAGGGAGAGGAACAAGGAAAGGAAGGGCAACAACACGATGTTAGTGAGAGCCCTCCTCCCCCACCATCTGCTGCTGTGCCACGCGCAGGACTCTCAGCTGAATGGGACAAGCAGAGGGGATAAGAGGGACGGAGAGTTGGGTGCAAACAGAGTCAAGCAACCAAACGCAACACCTTCACCACCTGCTGCTGTGCCACGTGCAGAGCTGTCAGCTGGACGTTGCAGTGCGGAACGAGGAGGGAGAGGTGCAACAAGAGTGAAAAGAGAAAGGCAGCACGCTATTAGTGAGAGATGAGTGCAACGAGATCCTTCTCAGAATTCTCAGAAGAAAGAATCGACCATCTGCTGCTGTGATGAGATGATTTTTGAGTCGACTCAAAAATCGTTTTCAGAAGAAAGAATCCACCATCCGCTGCTGTGCCACCCGCAGAGCCCTCGGCTGGGTGCGCAAGGGAGGAACATGCATAGGCAAAAGGAGAGAAGAGGGAGGAGAGAGGAGAGATGAGCGCAGATAGAGGCAGCAACCAAAGACTGGTCGTATACCACCTGCTGCTGCACCACCCGCCGGGCCCACAGCTGAGTGCGGAAAGAGGGTGTGTACCAAGGAGGTACAGAGTTGGGCGAAGAGGGAGAGGAGATGTGTGTAAGCAAAACAGAGTCCGCGCAACCATGCACCAGCTGCTGCTGTGCCACTCGCAGGGCCCTCAGATGCAGGCTGAAGGGAGGTAAATATTAAGGAGGTACAGAGTTGGGCAAAGAGGGAGAGAGGGAGGAGAGCTGAGAGTCAACATCCATTCACCACCTGCTGCTGTGCCTCGTGCAGGGCCCTCCGCTGAGTGAGGCAGGGCGGAAACGAGTTGGGAGATGTGGGAAGATATAGCTGCAGGGAGGGATAATGCGCAACCATACGCTCCTCCTCCACTTGCTGAGGCAGCACCCAGACGGCTCTCAGTTGAGTGGGGAAGGGCCGATCAGGCAGGCATAGGCACCAGCTCCGAGTCCTGCCAGCCTGTGAAGAACACCCACGCGTCACGCACAACCAGTCCTCACCGCTATGTACCGAACCCGATTCCTCTCGTGTGGGTATCCAGCACATTGCTTTTGACCATCCTCACCTTAGCGGCTTCGAACTGCAATCGTTTCGTCTGCCGCACCAACTCCGAATCCTGCCGACCCGTGAAGAACACCCACGCGCCCATCCCACACAAGCGGCCCTCACCACTCCTTGCCGATTTCTTTATTAGATGTCTCACCTTTGCGGCTTCGAACTGCAGCCTCTTTGTTTGCCGCACCAGCTCCGAATCCTGCCGGCCCTTGAAGAACACCCACGCGTCTCGCACCATGCGCAAACCAGTCCTCTCGTTGCCATTGTGCTATTGAATAAGATGCTCTCGTGTGTGTGTGTGTGTGCGCTTGTGTGCGCGTCTCACCTTGGCAGCTTCGAATTGCAGCCTCTTGGTCTGCCGCACCAGCTCCGAGTCCTGCCGGCCCGTAAAGAACACCCACGCGTCTCGCACCATGCGCAGTGCGCGAATCATCGTCGCTCAATACGCTAAACCATGGAGGGATGGGATGGGATGGGATGGGATGGGATGGGATGGGATGGGATGGGATGGGATGTGAATGCACCTTCTACTGCGTCTAGTTTGAAGGCGCCTCACAACGCGTCGCGCACCATGCGCAGCGCGCGAATCATCTTTTCTGACTGGGCTTAATCATGCAGGGATGCGATGGGATGTGAATGCACCTTCGACCGTGCAGCACATTCACTCCTCGGGCTCCCTCTCTCGTCTCCCACTCAGTGAAGGCTTCCCTACTGTCCCTCCTCCTGTCCTCGCCTCGCTTCGCCTCGCCTTTCCTCGCCTCGCATCGCCTTTAACCTCCGCGTTTCTTCCTTGGCTAAGTTTCCGCCCTTCTTCCCTGCCTCCGCTTTTCCCTTCTCGTCCCCCCTTTCCCCCTTCGCCTTCCTCCACTGTTCCCTCAACGACTGTTCCGCTTAGAGCCGATCCGCACAGAAAGGAGATGACAGCACAGGGGAACACGAGAGAGCGGATGGGAGGAGTCGACTCTGATTTTTCCTTCCTTTCGCCCCCCTCCCCCCCCCTTCGCCAGCCTCTGTTCCCTCGAACGGATGTTCCGCTTAAAGCCGATTCGCACGAAAATGAGATGACGGCACAGGGGAACACGAGAGAACGGATGGGAGCCGACTTATGAGGCGCCTCGAGAGACGGGTGGGAGCCAAGGAGGGAGTTGACGAACGACAGGGGTGGGACGACGTAGATGAAGGGCGAATGTTAACGAAATTCGCGAAACGGAGATCGGGTGGGCGAGATGGGGCGTGCTGTGCGAAACGGTGGCGAATGAACGCGAGCCGGAGCGAGCGTGATGAGAGTAATTTGTGGAGGGAGGCGGGTGCGTGGAGCGCGGGTGAGATGAGGGGCTAGGCGTGAGGAGCGGCGGGTGATACGGGTGCAATGTTCCGCTGAAAGAAAATACCAGCTTTTGTGTTGGAGAAACGAGATTCTGCCGCCCCTGCACTTCGCACACGGAGCAGCAAGGGGAGAATGTCGGCGACAGCGTCAAGGCTTCGCGAAATAATTAGAAAGTTCCGCAGCCAATCAAATTTCAGCCAAATTCTCTTTACAGTTCGAGATGACTTTCGGATTGAAGCGTTGGTCTTTTCTACATGTTTCTACACAACAAAACCCAGCTAATATATCCGAGAATTACAGCTGGTAACTCCTATGCATGCACACACCTCTACATGGCATTGGATTGTGTCCATGTTCCCAAGGGAGTTGCTTTGTCTAGCAGCCAACGGTATCTCTCACACTGATGAAATAGGCACTGAACCCCACTCCGGTGGACTCCGGGCCGGGGCAAAAAAAAGGATGAATGTGTTCATAGCCGTGGTTTATATTTTTTAGTTCGCACTCACCGCTCGTGATGACCAACATCCTAGCACAGGTCCTTATTGACAAATCATACCACCATAACTACTTGGGCAGCCTGAAGCACCGCCTACCTAACCTAACGTAGTCTCCTTTTCTTTGTTGAAGGACCATGTACATCCTCAGAAGCACCCCCAGTCACCCCTTTCACATCCGCTCTCCCTCCCTTCTCACCTCCTCCCCCCTTCCCCACCACTTCCCCCAGCTGACTGATCTCCGTGGCGCCATACTGCAGCGGCACGTTCGACACATCCGCCACCGTCTCTTCCTCTTTCAGCCCGCCCGGCGCAGCAGCCGCCTGCTTCACCTCGTTCACCATCGCCAGCAGCTCCTCTTTGTACTTCTGCCTCGCCGCCTCCCTGCGCCTGCGCCGCTCGGCAATCACGCGCAGCACGGCGGGGTCGGACTCGTTCACGGCTGCCCGCGGATCGGGTGCGTCTAGCGCCTCCTCCTCGCTCAGAATCTCCTCCTCGGCTGCTGCCACTGCTGCTTCCTCCTCTTCCTGCGCCGCCACTGGGGGTTTGGGGCGAGGGAGAAGTGGGGAGAAAAGGAATGGATAAGGCGTTGCAAAGCATAAACCCGTCACTGAGTGACTGGCACTGCTCTTTGGTGTGCTGCGGATGCTGCTTCATCTGCTTCCTACGCACCTATGATGGCTGGCGAAAACAATGAGGGAAATGGCGAAAGGAAAGGAACAGGTGGAAGACTTTTAAGAAGCAGTTTGGAAGAAAGACAAGAAACCGCAGAAACAGAATCTTTGGAACGAGCTGCTCTTAGTATTTTTGTCTCTGAAGGTGCAGGAACACAGTATGGTGGGACATCGGGCAAGACAGGGTAGGAATCTGAAGGCTCATGGAGAAGAAACAAATAAAAAATATGTTATCTTCACTCAAGGAGGTGGCGCAGCTGGGGGTGGGGGTGCGGGAGGAAGAGGCGGGAGGGGGGGGGGAGGGGGGGGGGGTTGTGGGGGTGGGGTGGGAAGGGGAGGAGAGCTAATGTGAGGGGGAGGGAAGGCGAGCAAGGAAAAACGGAGAGCACCGTCACATGCATGTCGGCTGTGCACCCGTCGCTGCAATGACGCGCATCCCACACACCTGAATGAGTCACTTCCACGCACGCCCACATCCCCCCTTCCCCATCCACCCCCTGTAACATTCAGTCACGCCTATCCCACCCCTAGGCTCAGCGTTTCGGTGAGCGGTACTTCCTCCCAACGCACAACCTTGCGCTCAGTCACCCCAGACCACCCTCCCCCCCCCCCCCCCCCCCCCCCCCCCCCCCCCCCCCCCCCCCCCCCCCCCCCACCTCCCCCCTTTTTTCCCCGTCCCGCCTAGCGCCTGTGAGGCCATTAGCCAAACGGAGAGAGAAAAATCGAGGGTTGGCAAGGCCACGACTGCTAACCAGCTGCGCCAGTACGCGCGCTTCTTCCCAACCACTCCCCCCTGCACTTGCAAACATATCCGCGCTCTTTTTCAATCTCTCCGCCCAATTCCCCCGACGCCCCCGACGCATACCCGTGAGGGCGTCAGCGGCGGCTTTGTTGGAGCGGGCGAACGAGTCGAGCAGCGACGAGGGCGCGGCGGCGAGCCCCGTGCTGCCCACGTAGTAGCCCGCCGCCACCAGCGCAAGTGCCGCCACCACCATCACCGCCACCTGCGACGACTGCGACGAGTGCGACGACTGCCCTGCCATGGTCGTCGTTTCTAGCGAATGTGGCTGCGGCTTTTAACGAGGATAACGAAGGACGGAGCTTACTATCTGCGGCGGGCCTAGAAAAGCGGCCGCGATGCCGTACGCATCGCCGGCGTCCGCACTAACGACGATATCGGGAACCCTGCGACGCACGAAATTGATTTGGCGCTGCTAAATTTAGCGACGCACGAATAGCCTAGTGGAAAAATGTCGGTGCGAACAGGCTGCGGCGAAGTGGTTAGGTTCAGGGGGTTCGAGGCAGGGAGGGACTATCACGGGAGCAGCGGAGGAGGGGGAGACCTAGGTTAGGCATCATTTGGCGGTTCAATCATTCTCGGAGAGGTATTTAGTGTATTTGGGTGTATCAACGATTGTATAATTTCCAATAGCTGTTTGAGGATACGGTTACAATATGTATACAAATTCTTGATGAAACTAATGGCTACAATTACAATATGTATTCAATTTCAAATTCATGCTAACTGTATGATATTCAAGGCAGTTTCTCTTTCAAGGGCACCATTTGATCAGAATCCGTCGCGTTTAGGGGAATGTTCCCATCCACCAACCCCGTAAAATTAACAGTACCAGCTCAGTAATGCACTGCAATGCTCACAGGCCACATTTTCTCACAAGAGCCTGCTTCATACCCCCTGCCTCTGCTGCTTTTCCTCATCTCCCCCCTCCCTCGACTGCTGCACATGCCTCTGCCACTCTCTCCACATGCCATCAGACAGTCCATGACACGTCACTGCCATATGCCAGTACCGCACGCTAACCCAACAACAACAACCCCAACCTTCTGTCAATTGACAGTAATAAGCCTGCCACCATGATTGTGCTTGCAACTCCCTTCCCTTGTACTGTTGCACTACCCCATCCCCCCGAACTAAGTTCCAGCAATCCTTGATGCCAGGAGCTTTTAGCATTCACAACCTTCTCCCTTTCTTCCTGGGCTGCCCAAACACCACTCACGGACTCTGTACCTGCCAAAAATGAGCAGCAACCAGAGTTCAGTCAGGTATAGGAGACCAACATAAACAGGAAATCATCAACCACCATCCATCATCGCCTAGTAATTCCATTCCATGTGAGTAGCAGCAAACATATACCATACTATCAAAATCATGGCAAGTAACATCGTCCATTGCCATTATTGAAATGGACTCACAACAACCGTGAAAACCTCCAGCACCAAGGCATGGGATCGGACCAAAGGCTCACATTGAGGGTACACCCTCTGAGGTGTGACTCGAACTGAACAAGTGGAGTTATTGATCAGGAGGAGACTCAGGATAATTAAACATCAATGCTGCTTTTTCTCTAACCAAGAAGTAACACCCGAGTTTGTCTGAACATTGGAGGGTACATGTTCGGGTTTGATGCACCCCCATAGGTGTGCCACAAACGATGTGGTGGTGTGCTCACCTCTTCAGCATGAATGGCCCACATCTGGGTGTCAATGCTCTCAATCTTGTCAGTGTGTGGCAAGATCTGGCATATCTTGTCAGGGAACACCCCCAGCAGCCGCAGCTGTACTTCGGGGTGAGAGAGCTCCACCTGGGAGCGGGGACAAACCGCAACAGGGATCAGTATGGAGTGGTGAAAAGCAAGAGTTACACCTAAGTGTGATTGAATGTTACAGCATAGCATAAACAGAGTGGTATGAAGGCAGAATGACTATGTGCCACCACCATTTCACAGTATTGTAGAAAGACCAGAAATTATCCTTCTAAATGAAGAAATTACCTGCTGGTATAAGCTAAGCTCATGTTGAATATTGTAATGCTTATCTTCTCATAGATTTACTCGCAGTTCTCAGAAGTACTTACTAAGGGTACTTCTACCAGCATTACCTTTGCCTTCAACTGTGCAAGCACATCTGCGACTGTAAATTGCCGGTCCAGCTGAATTCTGTGCATCGACACCTGAAACACAACAATCTCAAAACAAAGAAGAAAGGAACATAGAGGGAATAGTTCAAGGTAGAGATGAGCAGGGCCAGCCCCCGTTTTCGGCAAGCCTTGCCAACTACTAAATAAGAAAGAAGACAATAAAAAGAAGATGATGCAGCAAATATGCACCCACCTTGTTTGCCTTGCTGCCGTGAAACACGATGTCAAGAGTCACGAGCGTCGAGAGTTTCTCCAGCTCTGGCAGTGGCACATCGAGCGTCTCAAAGTAGAGGATGCTTGATGCCTGAGATATGGGGCCCGGAAGAGCGGTATGGAATGAACCTCACAAGTATACCTTAGAGAAGTATGCAAGATGCCGAATGCTTGATGCTCTATGTTTGTCTCAAAGTTCAGAACATGCCTGAAGTGCGAAACAGCACGAGGCCCCAACAAGAGAACGGTGAAAACGATGGAAATATGACACATAAGGAATGCGGACCCCTCAATCCTTCTCACGCATGATACATGTCTCAGCATTTTTGCACAATCAGCCTCTGTACGTACCTGATCGTCGTGAGCAAGCATATCACCAAGGGACTTCGCCCCTCGGTACTTGATAGGGGTCAGCTTGGGCTGCAATGAGTAGCAGTTGTGCATCGTGAACCGAATCTTGGTAGCTTCAGCTAGTCCAAGCTTTTCTGCTAGTCGCTCCACCACTTTGTCATATGTGTCCTGCTTGGAACTGGGCAGATGAACAGAGGAAGTAGTGGGAATGGCGTTTTCGCGGGGGAAAAAAAAAGGGGGTTATGTGTCCTAAAAATGGGACTAAGGGAATGAACAGAGAAGCTGGAAATGTAGGGTCAGGGCTATCTAGCTTTTGCTATTCTACCAGACAACACCAACAAGGACACAAGCAACCAGGTGAAAACTTTTATGAAACTCATGAAGGAAAACTTACAGCAACAGACAGAACGCGTCTTCCCTGGGCTGCTCCAAGCGTCTCAAGTGCACCACCTGCTGGGTCTGCACGAACTCGAGGAATGAGGGCACGTCCGGGTGCTTCAGACCGCTCTTCTGTGCTGCGGTGAGTGCCTTCTGCACCCACAGAATGCCGCTCTCTTCCAACTTCAATTCTTTGAAAGTGGTTGTCCTGTTGATACGCTTGCACTTCACAGACATGACAAAGTTCCTCTCCTGAAGGGGCGGGCGAGTTACCATGGGAGAAGTGCAACAGGGGATGGGGGGTTGAACAATTTTTATTCCATCCACATTTCGACAGGCTTTTTCGGCATGAGAGCCAGTAAAGGAATGGTATGACGGGAGAGGGGGCATGGGAAATTTGAGAGCAAGTGAATGAGACAGGGGAAAGAGAGATAACACGAGGGGGTGTGAACGGGGAGAGAAAACAGGGAGAGGTGCGATATACCGCATAACGCTGATTTCTTTGCCAAATGACACAAGGGTTCCATGAACCAGCCAGCCAGTGACAACGCTGCTTTCTTTGCCCAACAATCGTTCTTTACTAGACCACAGACCTCAAAAATCAAAACATTCTCGTTGGCAGCAATGCCACACATCTCCTTGATCCTCTCGAGCACATCCGCAGGCTTGTTATCCGGCTTCACAAGGAGATGTCCTGCATACCTGGGATGGTGGGAACAGGGAGGAGAAGGATTTAAAGGAAAAAAGGACACTCTAAGGCTGTCAAATGACAAGGCTACAGATAAGGAGGGGAGGCAAGAGAGGAAGTGATGGAGGGAGGAGAATTATTGGATGCTTTGAAGGACACGCACGCACGCACGCACGCACACACGCACGCACGCACACATCCACATGTCTCCCAACCAGCATACCTAATGCTGCTGTGCATCGGATCGTAAAGCTTGACGAAGAGCAGAACATCATCCTTGTTCCACCCCTGCACAGGAGCAAACGGCCACTGGAAGAAGAACCAAGGAGTGCATTAAGACTTATTGCAACTTGGATCGAGCCTCTCAGGCCAAGGCATTGGCCTAGATATCTCCAAGCAACCAAGAACCCTCTATATACCAGAACAAGGCCGACCACAAAACCGCCCTCAACTAATATGTGAGGAAAGTGGAAGTGCAGATGGGTGAAAACGGGAAAGGCAATGAAAGGAAGTAACGGTTAAACCATTTAAAGACGCAGCTTTCTCATTCACAAATATGGCGATATAACACTAGTACATAGCGTTGAATACAGACAACATCCACGGTGAGAGTGGCTCACAGTGAATATGGGGTGACTCAAATTAAGGCGATGGATGAGAGAAGAAAGTGGCAGCGATATGCACATAGACTTACAGGGATGGGGGGAGTAGCTTGCAGAAACAGTTGGACTGACGTGCTCCCTTTCTTGAGAGATTTCCTCAACATCTCCACCTGGTTTAGATGCAAACAAGGAGATAAGACAAGAGAAGGGCTGTCAAGGTTCAACGTTCTTCCTTCCACCGTACCAACCCTCTCAAAAAAGGCTGTCAAGCCTTAGCAAATGTCATTCTTTGCTAGCAACATCTCTGAATGCAGTTGGTTCTCCCCCACTCGCATATCGCCGCTCCACGCGTCCTCTTCCTACTCACCGTCATCTCTTCCTCCTCTGCACTAAGGTGCTGGATCGGTCGAGACTTTTTATTCGGCCCCTTTCCCCACACCCAAAACCGCTGCCTGGCAACCGGAATCCCCATTTCCCTCGTCACTTCTACCTTGAATTCTGAAAACGGCATGTTCTTCTGCACTCGGAAGCTCCTGACTAGTGCATGGTCCACAAGATTAGGATAGACATTTTGTCCAATCTGCTGCCGTAGGTCCTCCTCGCGTGCCACCTTGACCTCTGTAAGCTCCTCCCCCTCCTCCCTCTTCCGCTTCAACCGAGCCTGCACCAATGGGAAGGAACGTCGACATGCGAGTCGTGAGTGGCAAGATTGTTATGCTGACGTGCAGCAAAGTGAGTCGGAATAAGAAGCCAAGACCAAAACACATCAAGGACTAACTATAAAGGGTGATCATCAGACCTAAACAGAAAGATGAAGGAAAAGGATACGAGATGGGTGCTTTCTGTAGGCAACAGAGGTCAATCAATTGATGCCTGCAAAACAAAAAACAAAAGGAAAAGCTACCAACACAGTAGTCAAGAAGGCAGTGAACACATCACACAACACCGAGAGGAAAAGAGAACATGGCAAGGAAAGAAACCCACCATGGTACGACCAGGAGAACATAACAAAACACCAATACACGAAACAGACGAGTGCGTGCAAGACAGCACCTACTTGCAAGGGCTGAGCGATGCCATCCACATCATTGGTGCAGAGAATTTTCTCCCGGTCGGACTGTCGAATGTAGACTAGCATGTAGGCATTGGAGTAGAGCTAGATGGAGTTCGAGGTGGTGCGATTTGAGTGTAGAATGAGAAACAAAGCATGGGAAGAGGGGAGAGGGGACGGGACTTGACAACATCTGACATACATACTTTTCATCTGGCATGGAATGAGCATGAAGACCTAAACCCATATTGTCTAAATGACTTAGAACTGTTGGCATGGAGCCATGTCGTGAACATAAGGGGCTAAGTGCTCACCAAACGTCTTATGACAATCCAGGAATTTTGAAAGACTAGAACCCCCGGTCAATTTGTGTTTGGTTGGTTCCATGCAAGCATCCCTACCCAGGTTCCAGAACACTCGAGATTCGAGTAACCGCTGCAATGCAACCATGAAATATGTAGGCTGCAAAGCCTTGGGCAATCATGTCCTCCGTACCAGCAAGGTTAAAAAAACCACGTACAAAAACGCATACATTCGATTCGATTATAAGGCAAGATATAGGCATACCTCCTATGCAAGATATAGGCATACCATGATGTTGTTAAGCATACTAGACATACCTCCTCCTCGCCCTTGAATTCCTTTGTTGTCACTTGCTCATTGTCAAATTTGTACCTAATTGGAAAGGGCGAGTGGAGGGCGTCGGGGAGAATGACGGGGGGAGTGACACAGCAAGTATGTTGGAATATTGTAACCTCATGAAGCATCCATCTGCATTCTGCAGCACATTCAAAAATCCTCATTTCACATAACTTTCTAAAGGGTAATGAGAAGGGGAGTGAGCATGCATCCAAGAACCTTGGCCAAAGGTAAGTCTGAAGTTGGTGAGGGGCAAAGTGTGGGGAAGAAAAACGACTAACGAACAAACGAGGGAAACACAGGAAAAATGAGCAGCGAGGAAGTAGCGAAACGGGGACCAATGCGGGAAAAAAAGATTCACATCTAGAATCGCATCAGCCTTGAGTACAAGCAAAGCATACCATTGGGATCCGAGGTTCGGACGAATCAATGCATAGCAGTGGCCCTTTTTAGCTCCATCGGTGTGGACCAGAACACTGTGTGCGTGAATACAGAGTGGGAAGGATGCAGCAGGATGAGCATAATAAGGATGAGATACCATTGAATCAATCAAGCTACGTTCTACATTTGTGGCCAGGTGTTTCAAACGTTTAGGAAATGAAAGCAGGTAACCCCATTTCGAAAATCCAACCCCTACCATACCATCCCAAGGAGAGCCTCTCAGTGCGCCTCACCACGTGAAAAACACTTTGAAAAACAAAGAAGGAACTGCACCGCCCTAGACCAGCATCCTATTGGGCTTTCCCTTCAGCCTTGGTGTTCCATTTTGATTCGTCAACTCCGCGAGGGCCTGACGTCTCGTCATGAGAGAACGTTTATGTAAAAAGAGCATGCTGGCAACTTTTTCCATGTGTATAGATCAGCAGGCTATTTAAGAGTGAGAAATATATGGTTAAGTTGAGTCACCGAAAATGGAAGAAGAAAAAAAAAAAAAAAAAAAAAAAAAAAAAAAGGGAGTTGTTGGCAAAAAAAATGCTTTTGGGAGTTGTCCTGATGCGTACTGACTCGTGCTGATGCGTACTGACTCGTGCTGATGCGTACTGACTCGTGCTGATGCGTACTGACTCGTGCTGATGCGTACTGACTCGTGCTGATGCGTACTGACTCGTGCTGATGCGTACTGACTCGTGCTGATGCGTACTGACTCGTGCTGATGCGTACTGACTCGTGCTGATGCGTACTGACTCGTGCTGATGCGTACTGACTCGTGCTGATGCGTACTGACTCGTGCTGATGCGTACTGACTCGTGCTGATGCGTACTGACTCGTGCTGATGCGTACTGACTCGTGCTGATGCGTACTGGCTCGTGCTTATGCGTACTGACTCGTGCTGATGCGTACTGACTCGTGCTGATGCGTACTGGCTCGTGCTTATGCGTACTGACTCGTGCTGATGCGTACTGACTCGTGCTGATGCGTACTGACTCGTGCTGAGGCGTACTGACTCGTGCTGATGCGTACTGACTCGTGCTGATGCGTACTGACTCGTGCTGATGCGTACTGACTCGTGCTGATGCGTACTGACTCGTGCTGATGCGTACTGACTCGTGCTGATGCGTACTGACTCGTGCTGATGCGTACTGACTCGTGCTGATGCGTACTGACTCGTGCTGATGCGTACAGACACGGCCTTTACTGAAACGTAAAGCAGCTTATTACACCCCCTACCATTATGTCGAGTCCGCGTAACCCCCTTGCAGCTTTCACCTGTGTGCAACTTCACAGCTCTGATTGCTACATACCAGCCTGTCGCACTTGTGCAGCAGGTAGAGATTGCGCCCGGTCCTGTCCAAGTCTGTGGTCAGGTATTTGCCACTGTCCTTATCCAAGTCCAGCTCCAAAGGAAACTCACACCGGTCGTCGACCTGAGAGGGTGGTTGTGGGAGTGAAGTGAAGGACAGAAGAATGGGACAGAGAACAGCAGGAAACGGAGGAGTCAGGGAGATTATTGTCTCCAATCCAGCTTCAGATAAAATCTGTACAAGAGATGTGGGGGATGAACACAAAGAGACACGAGAGGAGGTTGCACAGGGAGCGCAAGTTATCATCCAGAGTTTCTGCAACTCATTAGCTAGGTAGCAAAGAAACGAACCAATAAAGTACTAAAAGATACACATTTTAGGTGATTAGACAATGACTTAACTAGAGTCATGGTTTGGCTTGCGAAAGTGGCAAAACAGAAGTTTCCCTTTCCTCAAGTGTCACAATCTAGTACTAAGTACCTTTGCTGTTATATTGGCCACCGGATTGTACTCAAAGCGCTTCAAATGCAGCTGCAGCACCGGTGGGAGGTCCTCGAAAAGCACACCTTTCTTGGCGTCCTGCCGTTGTAGATGGGGTATATGACAACCAGTAAGGGCAAAACGCAGTCAAGTTAATTGCATAAAAGACGTGTGGACAATCAGGAGGCAATCGAATGGGGTAGGAGGAACAAAAACTGCGGAGGGAGTAGGGGAAGCAAAATAGTAATGATATGGCCAAAGTGGTTTATTAGGGCAAATAGCCTTACACGTGGAGTTTATGGAGATGGATCAGAGATGTGGAGAAAACTTCAATTGTATCAGAGCCCACAAGTGGCCCTTAAAAGCTCGACAGGCTTTCCATTACCACAGCAACGTAACAGCCAGAAAACAGAGACACATAAAAAAAAAAAAAAAAAAAAAAAAAAAAAAAAAAAAAAAAAAAAGCAGACCACTTCTGCGCAGCCCGCCCGTTCCAAAATGCTTGACAGCAAGCAGAAACAGCATAAGCACCGCCCTCTCATGGTTCCTGTATTGAAAATGGCAGTCAGGAAAACTATTTGCGTACCCCCGCTGTGAGTCATAACAACCGAAGGTACTTTAGACCTGCATTAACCAACAAACACCCACCTGTACCCCATGCTGTTCCGCATAGAACTTGGTGCTGCCATCAAGGTTCTGCACTCCCACGTATTTGTCCAAGCTCGCATACAGGTCCTTGCACCCCTTCACATCGAGCAGCAGGCCTGCAGCACAGCACAGAATCAACACAGCCTTATAGACTTGGTTTCACCAAGTACAAGAAATGATTTTCATGCTCATTACCACTCACCAGAAAATCGTTCCTTCCAGGCACACTTGTAATTCACATTGACACACTCGATGCAGTTCATGGCATGCCCACCAAACAGCTTCTCCATACTGCCCTCCACACCTGTGCCCTTCATCTCCTCCTCTAGCTTTGAAAACAGCACCCGGTGCACCTCACTCGCGTCATGCTTCATTGACGAATCTCCATCCTTCCAGCCAAACCTCTTAGTTAAGTTCCTGGTGGAAACGCTGGTATCGGTGAACTGCAGCCTGTAGAATATGCTTTGAAGCGCTAAGAGAATGTTGCCAGCATGAAGGTCGTTCTCAAAAGCAGCAAACCGATACACGACTTTCCGGAAAAAGGGGTGTGGAACAGCATTTGTATCACAGGCCCCCTTGGTTGTTGAGTCCCACGAATCCGGTGAGACTCTTTGATTTATCGCACACTTTTACCTCCGCCTCTAAAATCACTGTGTCGTTAACAAGGAAGCCTTTAGAGAGGTCATTGAAGTCCTTGAGAGGCATCATGGACGGCCAGCCCCGGCCATTCGAGCGTGCACTGAACAGGTGGCTGTGGCTCGATTCTAGGAATGGTGAATCATCACATGAATTGAGAAAATGGGAAAAAACAAAGACAGAGGGGGTTCAAGAAGACTGAATAAGTGAGATGCCTTTTCATGCCCTTGAAATTCACCCAAATGGTCATATCGGGGGTTCACTCATATCATATGACATCACAAACGACTCATCATCATCATACTCCCTACGGGTTTGCATGTATGCCAAGTCACTCCTCACCTTGTGGCAGCAAGTCAACCTATGTTGCGCATGCGCATCAACATGGGGAGTGGAAAAGGGATGTGACCTCTACTACAATTGCGCTGCGCGCTGCATGCATCCCATGCCTCGAACCCCTTTCCGCTCACCCACAAAAACTCACCAACCTCAACTCAACCCCCTCATCCCTGTCGTGCTTGCATGCATCTTGCTCACCCATACCTCTCCGCACTGACTTTGTCCGGTCAAACTGACAGTCAACGCAAAGTCCACGCGCTTGGTCCAACCGGGCTGCAGCGTTGAGGCATTCGCCACGCCAAGGAACAACGACAAGCCCTTTGAATCCTTGTTCCCTTCCGGGTACATCACTAGCCGCCTACACGGAGAAAGGATGGAGAGTAGTAGTCAAAAAGTATGGATATCCTACTACCTACTGATGGTTGGCAAGAGGTGGATGGGGGAAGGAGAGGAACGAATGAGCGATCCTGTAAGGGTATATAGGCAGAAAGATGTCAAGTTCCCCTCCGTGTGCGAGAGGAAGTAGGCACGAACAACCGCAATACCAGGGGTTAGGAACGTAGCAATGTTGTTGGCTCAGCAACAACTGTTTTGAGAAGTGAAGAGGCATATATTCAGGCTTGAGTGTTAAACGTTTGATAGTAGTTGGGAGGAGGGGGGAAATTGAACGGACAACGTGAACGGTTACGGACGGGACATGGCAGGTAGTATGATAGGAAGGAAGGTACGATGGGACGTGCAGGTAACCTTCCGTATCTGTGATATCTGCCAGCGCGCAACGCGAACACAGACACCTTCAGTTCAAGCGCCTGATACTCGGCCAACACGAGCACACACCAGCTGTACCCCCCAACCAGGAAGGTGTTGGAGTGAACCTCCCGCTCTCTCAGCTTGGAGAAGCCGTTGATTTGCCATCGGAACGTCACCGACAACGGGTCAACTGCGGCAGAGGGAGTTCAACAGGGCAGGTAGGGTGGTCGGGGGAAGGGTGCTTAAGAGGAGGTGGGTGAAGTTATTGGCTGCTGCTCATGTCTGTCAGTTAGGTCAGCAAAAGGCCCATATGAGACGACGCGACTGTTTTACTATTCTAAAGACTGCTTGCGGTGCCCCAGCGTGCCTACCTTCCATGGCGTCCACTCCGCAGCTCGTGCAGTACCTCAGCTGTTTCACACCCTCTACCCCGGCCTGCGTGCCTTCCAAAGAGAGAAAACGGTTGACAAGGAGGAGATGAGACCAGGAAAGGGGAGGCACTGGGAAGACTGGCGACTAAGAGGGTGACAGCAACAGAGATTTGTACTGGGAGGGATTTTAGGGTAGACAACGCGGGCAGACATAAGAATCTTAACATTATTCACAGTTTCTGATGACCGGACGTGCACGAGGAAGACGCGGGCCATCAATCTGGCCTTCCAGCAAGATCGAAGTGATAGGCATCCACCCACTATCATGCTCACTGTCGTAGTTACTCACTTGAACGTTGAATATAGAACAGGTAATATGCCAGGATCCCCTCCGTGACGCAACGTCGCTGCCAGTGTCAAGCAACCCTGGAGGGCCGCAAGTTCGGCTGGTCACTTATGCCGTGCAGTATTCGAATGAGCTTGCACTGAGGAGGAAACGGAACTGCGGGAACTCGATTCGGAGTCGTTACGTGATGCTGGAATACTGTTTGATGCGGGAATGAAGCGTTCGTCGTAGGAAGAAGACGAGGCCCTCTTTGCAAACCTAGGAGAAGGATTCGTTGCGCACTGATTGCGTGAAACACGACGGCATGAGATGAGAACGAACGCACGCCATAAACGACAACCACTTCGTCGTGTAACGAAGGCCCTTCCTTGACAGATGTCGGAATAATAGTAATCGGCAAGAATTCGGATTGCTCAAACCAATGAGCGATGTAGAATGATCGCTTTGCGAGTCCACCGAGGTTTCTTACACCGAGTTGCTCAGCGAGAGAAATGGCATCGCAAGTTCTTTCCCTACTTTCCCTCTTAACTCGTGGTACCATCGCGCAAGGGGAGTCTCGGACCATCGCGACGCGAGTAAACACCTCGGCACGGCATGCATGATGCGGCATAGCCGCGCATCGCATCGACGCATCGCTCCATTCGACAGTGTAAAGAATGAACAGTTCTCACGAGGAACATCCTGCTAGTGCAGACGAGAAGAATGACGAGGGCAACCTAACGGTGCAGCGCAACTCGCGGGTGACGCGGCGCGTGGTGCAACACAGCTCTCCCTGGTGAGCAAAACCCTATATGAACTCACTTTGTTAAGGTGTGATGCGATGTATTTGTGTAAACAGCTCATATGGTAGGGTATGAAGCTAAAACGAACTTACGCCCATATCGACTTCATTGGTGGGAATCAAAAAATGTATCATCCACATTCACCATGTACCTCAGTTTTGTGACGGCCAGCGTGTGCTCGTCGTTAGCACCCTCGAAACAACAGCACCATGGGCATTTCGTTCCAGGCCACAGGGACAGCCAGTTTGCCTCGCAAAACAATGTAAGAGCTTTTTCTACGATGGGGATCCTATCACACATAGACTGTCACTGAGGCCCATTTTCGTGACCCACAGCTCCATACACGTTTGAGGCACACAGCTCACTAGCCCCATCAACATGCCATACAGGCACAGCACAGTACAGCAATCCACTTCATCGCCCATACAGCGTGCATTCCCTCACAAGAGGCTGCTTCATACCCCTACCAGCCCTGCTGCTGCTGCTGCTGCTGCCGCTTCTCCTAGTCCTCACCCCTCTTCACAGCTGCCCACGCCTCCACGACTCGGCCCACGAGCTGTGCTATGCCTCGAACCGAACCTTGGGACGTTTCAGAAGCCATGCTGCCATACGCCTCGTACAGTGGCAACTTGTCAAGCGAGCCTTCTCACTCCAACAGCAGCCTCCCTGCTCGCCCACCTCGTCCACAGCAGCACACACCTCCACAAACATACTTATGAACCAGGCCATGCCTCTCATCTTGCCGGGGGAGCTAGGCTGCATTCCCACTCCAACAGCGCTCCCTTCTGATACACTACTGGCATTCACACCTTCCACTTCACACGTACAACAGCTCAGCAGATCCGTCCGCGTGTTTTGCCGGTACAACAGACCATTGCTTCGCCGACACACCTCCTGCTCTCAGCAACGCCTCTCTCATGGCCTTAACCAGCACACGCCGGCTCAAGTTTCCCTAAGAGCCATGCCACACCTCGCACCGTGAACAGCTTTCCCATTCCACCAGCAGCTCCTTCCACTCCACACGTGAAGCTCAGCAGCTCCATCCTCATTCTCTACCAGCACAGTGGGATTTCATGCTCCCTCTGCTCAGAAAACCTCCTCCTCTTCCAATGCTGCAACTGCTGCCTGCTCTCCTACTTCCCCACACCCGTCAGCACCAGCAGCACATGCTGCCACGCTTCGCTCCTCACCGTGCCTGGGGAGCTGCTGCTCCAGTGGTGGTCCACTAATGAGAGCGCGACAGCTGGCAGCTGGCGCAGACGACACTGCGAGCAGGAAGCATGGGACTTAGTGGAAGAGAGGAGCACAGGGAGCGAGAGTAGGCATGGCTACAACAGCCCAAATGTCACTCTTAATCTAAGGTACTCCCTGAGTTTGGAGATGTCATTAGCATTTTTATTCCTGTCTTTAGTAAAGCCCTCTTGTCAGTCAGAACTAGTCACACAATTAGCCCAAACGGGTTCAGGCCAAGCACCAGCAGAACTGTCAAGACCCAAGCCATGAACTGCCCACTGAAACCCTGCTACACCCTCTTAATTCGAAGCCATTACAAGATCGAAAGTGTTCCCAAACACCCTTTTCTCCTCCTCCCAGCCAACCCCACTAAGAAAAATAGCTCCCAGCGACGCCAGCTCTTCGCATCTTCTTCCTCTCAATCAAACCTTCGATGGTCCTATCCACCATATCGTCAAACTTACCCTCCTCTCCCACCTCCCCCTCTCTCGTATGATCCCTTATAAGCAGCCTTGGGATGTGCCTATAAAGCTCTTCCCTCATCTCCATTTTTCTCTCCTCCGATATTCCCCCCAGCACCTCTCCAATCCTAACCTTCCTGCCAATCACATCATCCGAATCAACCATCACTGACACGTTCCTCCGAGCCTCAGGTCCGGGAGCGAAGAACCAGGGGTACTGTAGATCAAACGTGCCTTCAGTGAACACCACAGGGATGCACCCCGATATGATCGAGTCAAATAATGACCTTCTAGTAAGGCTGTCCCCAAGAGGTTGCAGGCAAAACTCGGACTGGAGCATCACACCAGCCACTCTCCTAGGATCCATGCATCCCCTCAGGGGGAAATCTGGCTCAATCTCACTCTCCTCCTCATTCCCCTCCTCCTTTCCCTCCCTGCCGTTTTCCTCCTCCTTCCGTTTCTGCGCCTGCCTGCCTATCTCCTTCGCTGCTGCTGTCGCGGCCTCCGCATCAGCAACAGTACACTCTAAAAAGATGCACCTCTTAGGATCGTTCTCACACTCGTTCAGCAAGACGCCTCTTAGCGAGCCCTCCCAGGTCGCATGCGCTCGCTTCCCGCCTACAAACGAGTACAGATACGGCCGAGGCTGCTCCCGAACATGCCGAACCCACCCCTCCAGCTCGGCCGAGCCTATAGGATGGAAGCAGGTCGTGTAAGGAACAGAAAAGACCTCCCGTTCGAGCCACTCCGTAGGAGCCTCCACTGTAAGAAGTGTGACATTATTGAAGGTAGGCCGCCACCACAGATCAGTCCCCCACCCGTCAGGCTTATCCAGTACGCGAATGAAGTCCCAGATCGGACTGCCGAGAACGAGCACGTGGTCGCCTCGATTCACGAGCCTCTTAAAATCTGCATTATCCAGTAAAAACCTCTCAAGGTCAGCCACGGGTTCGTCTCGCTTTACGAAGAGCCCGTGTTCCACGAGCGACCAAATCATCCAACCGAGGTACGCCGGGATGAACAAGAGATCTGCCAAGTCTGGGTCGGAGGTTCGGCAGGGGTGCTGCAGGAGACGCGAGTGGAAAATGAGAGCTAGATTGAAGTTCTCGGTAGCATACCACTGGTTTCTCCAACCCTCGCCGCTCTCCGCCGCTACACTGCTGCCGTGGTTGCCGTTGTCGCTGCTAGTAATTTTGCTGCTGCTGCTGCTGCTGCTGATTGAAAGCAGCCGTCGCGACCCATCACTGCTGCTGCTGCTGCTGCTGCTGCTAACAGCCTGGCTGCTTTGCTCCTTCCCTTCAAACGCGTCATTCCAGGGCGGCAGTCTGGTTCCCAGCCCGCCGTGCCGGCTGGTGCCGCAAAAGCCCTTGATGTTGGTGTCCAGGCAGTCGTCCAGCAGCACGCGGTTCAATCTCGAGGGTAAATTGTACACATACACCTTCCGACCCTCGCACGCTTCCGATTCTAGACTCCCGCCTTTGCGAAAGATACTCCCGCGGGGTTTACGCGCGTCATCCTCGTTTTTCGACCCACGGGTCTCCGTCCTCGTGTCTCGCGTGCCTGTCATGCTGTTCCCCGAATCGCCTTTTCCTCGCGTCGTCGCAAGAAGCTCCTGCTCACGCTTCTGCCGTTGCTTCTGAGTCTCCCAATCCAGCTGCGACCGTTGATCCTGGTTTTTCTGATGATTCGCATCCTGCTGCCATGTTTCCTCTACGTCCGGGTCGCTTAATTTTGCTCCCAACTCTTCTACCCGAACGACTGGATGTGAAACCTCCGTGCTTCTGTGCAGTTCCTTCGCATCAAAGGACGGGGCCGAAACCTGAGGTGACCTAAGCGAAGGCCCGAGAGATACGAAGTAGAGGACCAGCAGACTTACCCCGATTGTGGAACATGTGGCCGAGGAGAAAGGGAAGCACAGCGTCGAGACACGATCTCGATGGTGTCCCATCACTCACTGCGTCCCTGTTGCGTCCAGCACTTGTAAATCGCAAAAAAAAATGGAATATATGGATAATTGCTTTACAGCGTAGACCGTACAGCAGGAGCTAATCCAAGGCAAGGCACCTAGTTGCAATGAACCCACTTCGGCTTGGCATTCTCAGAACTTTATACTTGGGTTGGGGAGAGCCTCTGATTTGAATGACTTCTCAATTTCGACTAGTCAGTCTTTCCGCAAGAAGGTTGCGCACCGACGGTGCCGGCAGCGCAGTGACCGGTGGGGTAACAGGCGTGGCTGGACATCACGAAACC